GCAAGGACCATGATAGTCAGCTGGGTTGAGACCTTCATTTTGTCTGGATGTTATAGTGTGGCGGGGTTTAAGTTTCGCTAAAACATATTTTATTCTGTGATAGTAAATAAAACTTGATGATTGTTCATTTTCAAGATTACGTAGAATGTTTAAAAATCAGTGTAATGTTTACCACCACTGCCTTTGCATAAGCGCTGCATGCCAGATAATAATCATTTTCATCCTCACTCTTAGTTGGGTTTGTGAGAAGTATATTTATTTTGGACTCCTTTCTTGCTTTATAAATACCCCAATATTTATTACAAAGAAAATTACACTGCAATATTAGTCATTTTTCCAGTATCGTGCAACCCTAGTATATTATAGCAAATTTCTTGTCATGCCATCTAGATCTTCTTCTCGTTCTGCCAACTAGATCGCAATTAAAGATTCAGTTAAATGTCTCTTCATTTGGCCATACATACATTATTATTACTTTAATATTATTATTATTTTACTTCATTTATTCCTGATTTCTGAGTTTGCAGCTTTTCAAGATGGTGATTGTATTGTGTTTCCAAAGCAGGCTATTTGCATAACCAATTGAAAATGAACATGTTTCCAAGTCCCATCCCAGAATACTGAAGTACCCCAGCTGCACTGGCACTTTAGGCACTGGAACTTTTGGTATGGATACTCGACTAGAAGTCAATGGAAAAGGGAAAATACCAAAAGTCCGGTACCTGGTGCAGAGGAAAAGTGCCCTAAGGCATTTTGTACACATGTAGACACGCTGACATTTCTGTTTAGCCTTTTCATTGCACTATGCTTCATATACTACTTAATTTATTGAAGCACAAGTTTAGCACTGTGCAAGGCAGAGTATGTTTTATACAGCCACTGCAGGACACACTGTGTGTGAGTGTCTGCCCTATTGTGACCTCAGGTCAAACGGCCATAGCCCCGCCAGTCACTAACAGGAAGAACCAAAGATGCATTGTGAGCAGGTCAGTGAGTGTGGCCTCAGTGCGCCAACCTCAGCAGTCCACAGACAAAGAGCAAAAGGGGGGGGGGGGATCAGGCCCCTGAGTGAGTACACCACAGCAGGGGCTGCTAGGCTAGAGGCTGCTGGTCCACCATTGGTCACCGAGCTGTGGTCCAGCCGACTGTGACGTTTCACTTCCCCAGCCAAGTAGGGGGCAGTCGAAACCAATCGCGTGTGAAGCCCCCCCCCCCCCCAACAAAGAACGGTGCGATTCTCTCTGGCCACACGAACAGCTCAGCGGGATGGATTTGGAGAACAGCAGGAAGACTCTGCTCCAGGGCTGAGGTGAACACTGACAGCGAGGACAAAAAAAGGAGCAGGTCTGTAATGGAACCAGGCCAGCTGTTGGTCCAAATGCCGACACCCCCCCCCCTCCGCCCCCAAAATGCATACATAAATACATACAGGCACACAGGCACTTCCTGATGAAGTGCCAGCCCCATTCTGAGGGCCTGCTTCGATCAGGAGGCCATGGTCACACTTACTATTGTCAGTGGAGCAGACCGGGTGGTCAGGGCCAGTGGGATTGGTGCAGAGTGACACGCAGGAGGAGGCGGAATACAGACTGCTATACACTCGCAGATACACAGGATGACATGCACTCTAGGACACGTAAATCACTCCAAGAAGTTACACTGCAGAGTGACATATGCTATTTAAATTGGCCACAAGTGGAAAAAAAACATGCATAAATCAGGTAACATTTTTAAATCTACTTTTTCTTTTCTTGACAGACGTGTACTTGAATGCCAAACATAGTACATTAAATGCATGGAACACGGAAAGCCTGCTCGCACTCAGGCTACTTAACACTGCAGGAGTGCTGTGCTAACATGACCATGCAAAAACAGTCAAGAGGCAGTGCATTCATTTAGGGTTTGGAGTAGAGTCTGATTATGTGTACTCGTATTTTTAGTTTGTGCCAGAACTGGGGAAAGATAGAAGAGTATTCCTTACTGCAGGAAGGCTAAATTAGCAAAGCAATAGCAAAACCATTAACGACCAGCATGGAGTTTTCACACTATCTGAATGATACAGGACACTCGTTAGGCATGCCCATGACTGCGATAGAATACAGCAACACCAATTATGGAACGACAAGCATTGGAAAACTGATCCAAAACCAGTAAATCATTCCTGTAGTTTCTAGTTCAGAATTACTCAACGTTTTCTTCAGGGACCCCCAGACACCCCACACTTCTGCTCCCACCCAAACAGCCCACATTTTTTCTCCCTCCCAGGTCCTGGTAAACATGAACTATCTGGGATTGAGAAACACTGTCCCAGATGATTCCTCCCTCTCGGGGGGGCTGACACCCCCCCCCCCCATCAAACTGAAGCGGACAGGTCACAGGCCATGGCTGCCAGAAGTGGAGTTCTGCACATGGAGAGCTGCTGCTTTGTCTACACTGCCACGGGAACACAAAAGTTGACGCTCTTACAAAGAGCTGGCAGCACGCGATGAGAACAGCAGGGATGCAGCCTCGGCCCCCACTCACACCCCACTGTGACATACGTTCTGCTAAGCCGGTAAACAATAACCTTCCCTTTTACAAAGAAACACAAAGGGGAAATCAAATAAGCAGGTCAACAATCAAAACTTTGCAGCAAAACCCCATGGCATTGATAACTTAATATACTTATGACATTTCTCTCTAAAAGCATTTCCCTAAAAACAAGCCCTTAGTCACCAGAGCAGTCAGCTTATACAAAGTAACATTTCTTTTGATCCTGAGTCAAATACTCTTAACTAAGGGGAAAAATTTGCATCACTACTATCCGCTGCCTTACTTAGCGGGATTGATAGTGAAGAAATTAAGCCAAAAAAAACAGAACAGAAAAGTCACTCTCAGAACCCAAAGCAGATCTAAGGTGATGGTGGTGCAGGAGGTAGTGTAATCGTTCAGCAACTGGAGGACTGCGGGTTCGAGCCCTAGTTCCTCCTGACCCCGGCAAAGTGTGCTTGAGCAAGACACTGAACCCCGAATTGCTCCCGGTGTGCAGGTTGGCGCCTTGCATGGCAGCCTCCACCACCAGTGTGTGAATGTGTGGTATAGATGGGTGAATGTGAGGCATGTATTGTAAAGCGCTTTGAGTGCTCATAGAAGTAGAAAAGCGCTATATAAATGCAGTCCATTTACCATCTTTACTTCATACAAATCCAGGACATCACAGGAGGGTGGCTACTATATATCTCTGAGTAGGGATGTGTAGATCAATGTTAAAATATTGATTCTTTCAATCAGAATGTTTTCATTTTGAGAATCAATTCTAACATTGTGGTGGTGGTTGAAGTGGCTCCCTACTGCTTCTATAAAGAGCTATATAAATGCAACTTTCATTCATTGAAATGCCTACCGTACCTGAACTGCTACAGTGTTGAGGGGCAACTCATTCATCTCCAGCCCACTGCTCGGCAAGTTTTATTATCAATGTTTGGGCCAAATTTAATATCAATGGTACCAACTTTGGATTCAAGAGAAATCAGATCAAAAAGAAAATCAGTCCCTGCCTACCCAGCAGTAAAAGTGTTTCCACTGCATGATTATTTGCATCCAAAAATCCAGAAAGTTCCTAACAGGGAACTAAGATTTTGAATCCTAAACTCTAAGGCAACTGCTGTCTCTAATGGCAGCTACAATCTGGCTGAGATCTGCTGCGTGCCAGCAGCTTGTACAGGGCCATCTCGCGCTCCTCAAATGTTCAAGCTCCGGCTTTCCGGGCAAACCTCGCAGCCACACGCACTACCATGACCGCGCCAGTGTGGAGTCACAATCACATCCCACACAAAACTAGGGTTAGCGAATATATAACCCCCCTGAAGTCGGGGTTAAATGAGTAATAAAACCTAAAAAAAATCGGCACCTATATGTTTAACTCCCTTGTCACTAGTACGTACCTTGGTTAACTACCTCGCCTGAAAACATGTATTTCATGCACTTACTAATCAGTAGTCATTAATAATTAAAAACAATTTTACTACAAACGAGCTGTACTTACCTTGATGTAAAATGTGCATAAGTTTTAATGCTACAGGTATTGGCAGTGAAGAGAAACATAACTAGGACCTACATTTCTTCATTAATATAAAACAAGGATGACTAAAGAAAATACATTTCCCGTATTTTTTTAGTTTTCAAGCCAGCATTAAAATACATTATCACTCCCTCATCCCTACACCACTGAACAAAATCATATTTAACTGGGTAACAGTTAACGTCAATAGCCTGTGTCGCCCAGTGGTAAGTTTCCTAAAGCCTCCTTAACGCTACGTCGTTCATAAGTTCTATCTTTTTAACACAGACCTTACGAACGATGTGGCATTAAGGCAGCTTCGGGAAACTCACCCCAGTTCGGTTGCGTTTACAGTTTAATCTTCCTCGGACTGTAGTGATGCGATACAGCGTCAGACCCAAACACACCCTGACTCCAAGTGAGAAACCTAAATCACCGTTAGGCATTAGCGTCTCACCGCATCGGCCTCTAAGCATAACTGGCATTACACTTATAATTAACTATTACTAATTATCAATAGGGGAAGGACAATGCAGGGCCTTCAAACGGCTCCGGGACCTTTCACAAAGGCGGTTATCCAATCTGGTAATTGCCATCTGCTCCCGACGCCCCGCGCCCTCCCCCGGAACAGCGCCGCACGCGCGCCGCCTCATTATCCGCCACAAAGCCGCCTTGTTATTTAAATTCCGCCATCAATGCTTCTTTGAACAGGTGCAGCGATTCAGCGAGGAGCCAGCATAACCTTCGCGACCCCCTTCCCCCGCCATAATTACTGTTACAGCAATGGCTTACACGGTTACCATTTTGTATTATCACGTATCGCTACATGTGTCCACAGCACGAAACCGCGTCGGAATTACGGGCTTGTCTTCACTTCGTGCCATTCGCTTTAGATGTTTTAACACAGCCAATTAAAAATATAATAATAAAAAAGTATAGAGGTGTATTAAAACGGACTCACATGAATGTAGTCAGCCTGCGTCTGGTGGTCCGTGGTTCAGGAGACACATTAGCCGGGGTGAACTCTTTAATCCGCGGGTCACTTGTCAACTCGAGCCCGGTGGTTTTACGGCAAGCAAGGGCCTGATGGTGTGAACGCAAGAAAATGACATTTTCTTACCTGTCCTGGGTGTTTTTACGCTAGCAAGCACGACGTGTTGCTAGACAGGAGAACAGTACCTTGCAGCCTCTGTTTTTCATGATACGCGATCGCACACGCAGTTTCTGTTATTTTGGCAGACACGAGATGAGCTGATTTCTAAAACAACGTATGCACGCGCAGCAATATGCACTGCAAGTAAACTAATATTTTCTTTAAAACCAAAGTTACTGCACCGTAACCCTAACCCTAAAGACCGTTAAGTTAGAGATATTTTATCAAATTAAACTACCAGTTTCCCTCTAAGGTTGTTTCATCACGTCACTAAAATAAATATATAGCTACATGTATTGTAAAAGTTCCAGAAAACTGCTGTCAGTTAAAGAAAATTAAAATTTATAACACATGGCTATTTACCTGTATTCTGACGGACATCGCCGCTGTGCAGACAAAACTGCACACTCCGAAACTTGTCCAGCATACTTCACGTTGTGTATGTTGTCATTTACATAGGAGCAAATTAAACGCTTACAGTAAACAAATCCTTCTGTGTTGGTGAAATTGAGACGGTCCGTGAAGCAAGCCAGCATAAGACGGCAGCGGGGGATCAGGGAGCTGTCGCCACGCCAGGAATATGCGGCAGCATGTTGGGGGATTTACCTAAACGTCACTGTACTCATTTGTTTGCTGCACAAGGTCGACGAGGAAAAAGGAAAACAGAACCGGCTCGCTCGTCCGGCCGCCTGTCACCTCCCAGCTACCGAAGCTCGGCGTGCTCCAGCTCACCTAACTTGCTCCCCCTTGCGAAAAAATGAGGGTATTTCACGTGATGAATGAACCAGCCCCCCATAGCTGTCTTACGGGGCGTCATACGACGCCATTCTTTTTAAATGTTTGTTCGTCCCGGGTAAGGGGGGGGGGCATCCTCTGAAAAACTGGACTCTCTATATAGACATCACAGCAATTTCACCCCAAGGTCAGACCATGCATTGCTCAAAGGAAATGCAAAAAGCCCAAGAGCCCTACATCTCAGACTCTACAAGCCTCAGTTAGCATGTTAAACGTTTAAGTTCATAACAGTACAATTACAAACAGACAAGTATGGCTTGTTTGGAAGGGTTGCCAGGAGAAATCCACTTCTCTCTAAAAAGAACATGGCAGCACAGCTTAGGTTTGCAAAGTTATATTTGAACAAACCACAAGACTTCTGGAACAATGTCTTTAGGACAGATGAGACCATAATGGAGATGTTTGGCCATAATGCACAGTGTCATGTTTGGCAAAAACCAAACACAGAATACCAGCACAAACACCTCGTAAGAACTGTCAAGCACAGTGGTGGAAGGGTGATAATATGGGTTTGTTTTGCAACCACAGGACCTAAGCACCTTGCAGTCATTGAGCTGACCATGAACTCCTCAAAATACAAAGTATTGTAGAGTCAAATGTGAGGCCATCTGTCTGACAGCTGAAGCTTGGCCAGCTGAAGCATGCAACAGGACAATGATGCCAAAATCACCAGCAAATCTATTACAGAATGGCTGAAAAAAAGAATCAAAATATTGCAAAGGCCTAGTCATAGTCCAGACCCAACCTAATTGAAATGCTACAATGTGACGTTAAGAGACCTATGCATAAACAAATGCCCACAAACCTCCATGAACTGAAACAATGTCGCAAAGAAGAGTGAGCGAAAATTCCTCCAAAACAATGTGAGAGACTGAAAGTCACACAGAAAATGATCACTTCACATTATTGCTGCTAAATGTGGTTCTACAAGCTATTGAATCATGGGATATATCAGGGGAGTTCCTAGCTATTGAAAAGATCAGGGGCTAAATCAAGTTTAGCTGGGCCTTGACTTTGTTATTTTTTTATTGAAGGATGATTGGCATCAGGGCTAAAATACCTAACCTAAAAACCTAATTTCACCTGAGGTGTATTTAATTTTCACAAATTGTCACGCCCTGCTCGTCCGATCCTCCTGTGTGTCACGCCCCCTCATTAACCTAGTGTGAAATCCCAATTGTTACCAGCTGTTTCTTGTTATTTCCATTAAGTCCTGTGTATTTCAGTCCGCGTTCAAGTATGTTTCTCCAGTCCTGTCATTTACATCCTTCGTTGTTGCTACCAGTCCTTCCTGTATGTGCTGTTTCTCCCCAATAAGCGCGTGTTTCCCTAGTACCTATGGATTCCAGTGCTTCCCTGCTCGACATGTCCGCAGCATGTCATGACATAAATGGCATCTCCATTTTGGCTTCAGTTTTGTTAAATAATGACATAGTGGAATTTGTGTGCTGTTTTACACCCAAAGTTACATTTAAATAATTTTAGAACCTGGTAAGGACCATATAATTATTTTTTATTATATCCTGATACGTAAAAGCATAGAACTGCAAACGATCGTACTTTGTTCTTTTTTTTTTCTTTTTTTTTTTAGCACATGACTGTATGCGTGCAACTGCATTTAGCCATGCCAATTTAAGACAATGAAGTTTGACCACATTCTGGACAATAGGCATTTAATGTGAAATGATGAATAATTCTCACAATTGAAACATGCTACAGTGAGAGCACATACAGCAATTTCTTTTTGCTCAATCAAAACAATTGCAATCCACATGCAGGTCCAGGACACAAGCAAGTCAGATTTCTAGCAGTTAAGGCAGGCGGAAGCACATACAGAGATGACTGATACATAGCATATATACAGCATTATGAGCTCCAGTCTAGGGTTGGAGTGTAACAGTATTAAAGGGAAAGGGGAATTGGATAAAAGGATAAACAGGATAAGGGGAACAAGGGAACACCAGTGGACAAAGGGATTTTTTGTATTTTTATATTTTATTCACACACACAAAACTGACACTGAACAAGTAACCCGGTGCAAAAGACTTCAGGAGTGACCATGGTCAAATTAACAAACAAAAATCCTCAACTACCAAGCGACCCACAGCCAATCTCCGCTAAGTGCAAAAGAAAAGGAAATCAAAAGACAAACACTCCAATTGACTCCCTAACCAAATACACAGAATCGAACACACACTTGCAAAACAAAATGGCAGTCACTCCCTACGCAGCATCACACACGCAGAACAGGCACACAAGCCGAAGCAAGTGTCCGAGGGAGCGAGCGAAGACGTAAACCAAAGAAAACTGAGCGGGGAGATCAAAAATCAACCACAGCAAAGGCACAAAAAGAGCGAGGCGAGAATCAAAAACCAGAAAACAAGGCGGGAAAAAAACTTACGGCATGTAACAACAGGTGTGTGTGTGTGTGTGTGTGTGTGTGTGTGTGTGTGTGTGTGTGTGTGTGTGTGTGTGTGTGTGTGTGCACGCATCTATTTATATGAATCTGCTGTGGCCTGAATAGAGCTCATCATCATACCCTTAAACATTCAGTGGTAAATGTTCAGTGGTTGAATCTCTGGCTGTAGTTTCCTCATGCAGGAATAATATGACAGGTGGATGGGTGCTGGAGGCATCTGGTACCGAACACGCTTCCAGAACCTTCCGGAGCTGCAGCCTGTTTCCTCCCAACGCAGAGGTGTGGTTTTGTGGGCAAGGTGCTGGAGGGCTTGGGGCAAGTGGCAGTATCCGTCCATCTTCTCCAACTCGATCAGGATGATCTTCAGCTCCTCCTGGACTAGTGCCTGATGCAGAGCTAACTGGGAGGTAGCATCTTCAGCAACTGGTGCAGATATGCCATCTTGACCAGTGCAAGCTGGGGTTAGGAGCACCACCAGCCTGCGGCTTAGCTTCACACGGCTCTGCACCATCTCCACACAGTCTGATGGGTCAAAAAACTGGAAGTTTTATGGTTAAGGTACCAGGCTTTAAATAAATAAGCTTATGATATTTGTTGAGAAGACATTTTTTCACCCCAGCAGCACAAAGAGGCTACAAATTTAAATAATTAATACACTGAATATTTGCTGAGGCAATTTCAACCCTTTCTAAAGGATAAAACTCCAATTCTTGTACTTGGATCAAAAGCTCCTTTGCCCCTTGGTACCTCGTACATATATTCAATAAAGGCAGATGTCCAACAAATAAATTTAGACTATGTGTCTACCGAAGCTTATTTTGTATGTACCTTCTCCTGGCAGGTCGTCCCTTCCACAGATGAAAAGGCTGTAACCGTACTTTCGCTCAAGTACATCAGGCAGAACAGTGGAAACAAAATGAGCGATTCTCTCCTCAGCTGTCCTTTCCATGTTGTGCGTCTGATACATGACAAAGGCATCATATACCTTTCCGTCTGAAAGCAACATTCAGGCAAGTCAAGGCAGCAATAGGTTAGACTTTGCTAATTATATCTTGAATGAATGAATGAGGGAGTTTGCATGCTCTCCCCGTGTTTCTGCCTGCGTCCATTGTTCCGTGACCCCAGTTGGGATTAAGCGGTTACGGTGATGGATGGATGGATGGATGGATGAATGAATGAATGAATGAATGAATGAATGAAAGCAGCCATATCACCTGCAGTTCAGACTAGGTCAGGGGTGGGCAATGTTATCCACAAAGGGTCGGTGTGTATGTAGCTTTTTGGGATAACCGAGCTCAGTTATTCGAACCCAGGTGTGAGGGCTCTGTAGCCAATCAGTCCTCTAAATAGTAATCTAATTATGGAGTTGCAGCAAAAATCCGCACACACAACAACCTTTTTGGATAAGATTGCCCACACCTGGGCTAGGTAATCCGCCTGAAGCTAAGCAGTTTTGGGCCTGGCCAGTAGGGTGGGGTGAAAAAATCAAAATTTCCAATAGTGCGGAAAAGTTGTCACTAGACCTTGTTATTAAATGTGCAAAATATCTTTGAAATAGGTTCATATTTTCAGGTTCCGCAACGCGATCGAAGTTTTCACCTGTCACATCAATGGGCAATATACACTATCCATTATCTATACTCATCAGTGTTGTGTTTGTGCATTTTCACAACATGATAATCACTACAAAATACCAAAGTTCAGGTAACGCAGATTTTTACTGGGTATCAGCCATACACATACATTACATCGCTCTGCGGCTCTACGTGCATTACGATTAATCACCCGTCACATCAATGAGCAGATCCACGCTACGTATCATCCATATCATAACGCAATGTAAAACTGTTCCTCAGTGCCACCAAAATGAAAAGTATTAAGCCTGACAGTCAAAATGGATAGATACACTATATTACCAAAAATACTGGGACACCTGTAGGATTACAAATTTATAAATTGTTCAGTCTGGCTTCCAACATAACAGTGTATGAACTGAAAGAGATAGGCACATTG